ATTGCTAAATGTTGCCTCAAAAGGACAATTTCTGCTGACATTATTACGACTTCCTACGTCTACTTGCACATATTGTCAAATTCTTTTTTGAATTATTATTTTTTTCGAAATTAAGTTTGTACAGATAGTGCCGTACCGGCGCTGAAAATATAAATTCCAAATTCCAAAACCGAATTAATGGCAATGCGCTTTTCACCCAATGGGAACATTGAATGGGTTATCCAGCCAGTCACCGGCTATACTGGGGGGAACTAGTGAAGAATTATGAAATAAGTATCTTCTACACTGCGCCGTTCCTGAAAAAGACATGGCTGTCCTCAGTGAATTCAATTTCATCTCGCGGCACAACGTTTTCCTCTGAATAGTGCAAACTACTCCCCGTAGGTAAAACAGTTTCTTCTCCACCTTGGGGTGGGGTTTTACCCAGCCCCTCGACCTCCTCACGATCCAAGGCGCGTACTGCGCCACTTGGATGTTCTACGCTGCGATCAAGTTCGGTGAGCCGACTGCCTAGCTGAAGACGGTTGAAGTGAACTGTGAACGCAGAAGTGAAGGAGCGTTCGTGATCCTGGATGACACATGGCATGTTTGAAAAAACTTGGGAGACGATACATGGCGCGCACCAGTCGATTACGAACTTACACGGCATCCCTTGGCTAATCGAATGGTCTCTACGCCAAACGGGATTCCGCGGGGTAGTTGGTCTTACTGGTCCTTTTGTCGCCTCGGGATGCCTGGTAATGTAGTCGCGCTTCCTCTGCAGCGATGCGCAGCTTCCTATTTAGAAAAGTTACGTAAATTTTGTTTGGCACCGAGTCATTGTCAAAAAGACCTTGGGGGTCCCTTGGTATTCGTATTACACGGCCGTATTTGAAGACAGAAGGAGTCTGGTTGATGTGTAGAATGCAAGGCCGGCATATACGCTGACAATGCATCATCCCATATATATCAGACCTAGCGACCGAGGAAGACTTTCACTAACCCGACCAGTGTTTTATTGGTCCGCTCCACTTCACCAATACCCTGTGGGTGGTACGCAGTCCTACGTGTTTTATTAATTCGCAGGTCCATACACAGCTCGTGTACAATACTATTCTTAAACGAACTACCTCTATCCGAGTGGATCTGGTCGGGGGCGCCCCACCTGCATATCCAAACATTAAAAATGTCCTGGGTGACTGTTTCGGTTGACACATTGAGCAACAGTTCTACTTCAGTCATTTTTGTAAAGGATTCAACCAAAAATAAAATGTATTGGTTACCTCTGCGAGATGTAGTTATGAATACGACTTTGTTCACGCCATCGCGTTGGTTGGGATATGCGGTCAAGATTGGCTGAAGCGGGGCCCTTTTCACCTATAGTGGTGGCTTTATTTGGTTGCATAGGGTACAGTACCGAAAGAAATTCCACGCCGAGCGCTTTGAGTAAGGCCAGTAATATCTGGGGCAAGGGACCATTCGATCTTGTAGATACCAACATGTCTCAGCCTGCCTATGACGTCTTATACCATGGATAGTGAGAGGAGGATAAGCTGAGGGTACTGCTTGCTGTCTCGATAAAACAAGTCAACGTTACCCAAAAATAATTTATCCCACACCACATGGAGGCACCGGGTTTCATAGTTCTGCCCTCTCAGTTCGGAAGCACTCAGCC